GTGAAAGCTGGACAGTGAATAAGGAAGATTGTAGAAGAATTGATGCCTTTGATTTGTGGTGTTGGAGGAGAATACTAAAAGTGCCATGGACTGCCAAAAGAACCAACAGATCTGTTTTGGAAGAAGTGCAGCCAGAGTGTTCCTTGGAGGCCAGGATGGCTAAGCTTCGTCTCTCATACTTGGGACATATTGTCAGGAGGGAACAGTCGCTAGAAAAGGATGTCGTGCTGGTAAGGTGGAGGGTCAGAGAAAAAGAGGAAGACCCCCAACAAGATGGATCGGTCAGGTGGCATCATTGATGGTATCGAGTATAGCAGTGGTAGTGAGGTTGGCCACAGGATCGGACACTGTTTCTTTCATTCTGCTGTGCATGGGGTCACTATGGGTTGGTTCCAACTCGATGACACCTGACAACAACAACAACAATCCCAATCTAGATTCCAACATCATTCTTTAAAGATATAGAAAAACTTATATGGAAAAGAAAGAGACCTCGGATAAGCAAAGAACTCTTTAAGAACAAAGTTGGAGGCCTCTCACTCCCTGATCTCAAAATATACTACACTGCCACAGGGTTCAAAACAGCTTGATACTGGCACAGCAAAAGACACACATTTCAATGGAACAAAATTGAGAGCACAGAAGTGAATCCATTTACATACCATCAGTTGATTTTTGACAAAGGGCCAAAACACATTAAATAGGAAGAGATAGGCTCTTCAACAAATGGTACTGGCAAAACTGGAAACCCATTTGCCTAAGAATGAAACAAGACCCTATCTTGAGCTATATGCAAACACAAACACAATGTGGTTTAAAGACCTAACTGTAAAACTTAGAACTATAAAGATTATCAATGAAAATACAGGGGCAAACTTAGGGGCTCTAACAAACAGCATAATACACTATCAAACATTTTAAAACACACAAACAGCAGAAAATAAAATAGATGACTGGGAGCTCACAGAATTCAGACATTTATGTGCATCAAAAAATTTCGCCAAAAGAGTCAAAAGGGAAAACTTTTTTTGCAACGATATATCAGACAAAGAATAATCTCTAAAACTTATAGAAAACTACAACACTTCTACAATAAAAAAACAAAGAGCCCAATTAAAAAGGGGCAGAGGACATGAATAGACAGTTCACCAACGAAGATATTCAGGCACATGAATAAGCATATGAAGAAATGTTTGCAGTTATTAGTCATTAGAGAGATGTAAATCAAAACAACAATATCAACTCACACCATCATTAATAGCAACGTTAAAAAAAAAAAAAATCAGAAAACAACCAATGCTGGCAAGAGTGTGGAGAGACTGAGATTCTTCTACATTGCTGGTGGGGCTGTAAAATGGCTCTGGAAAACGGTATGCCACATTCTCAGAAAATTGGAACTAGAGCTACCATATGACCCAGCAATCCCTCTGTTTGATATATAGCCACAAGAAATAAGAGTCATGACACGAGTAGACATAGGAACACTGATGTTCATCACAGCACTATTCACAACAACAAAAAGATGGAGGCAGCATAGATAAGCAATGGCATTCCCAGCAAAGGAAGCATGGATAAACTTTGGTACAGATGCACAATGGTTGAAGAATAATGATGAATCTGTGAAATACTTCATAATATGGATGAAACTGGAGGACATTATGCTGAGTGAAATAAGTCAATCACCAAAGGACAAATATGAGACAACTATTGTAAAAATTCAAGAAAGGGTTTTCATATTAAAAGAAACATTTTTTGTTGGTTACCCGAAGGAAGGGAAAGGAGAGCAATTCATTGGTTAGAAGGTTGTTGTTATGTGTCGTGGAGTTGGTTCCGACCCATAGTGACCCTGTACAGGGTTTCTGAGGTTATAAATCTTTATGGGAGTAGAAAGCCTCACCTTTCTCCCATGGAACAGCTGGTAGTTTCAAACTGCTGTCCCTGAGGTTCGCAGCCTGATTTGTAACCACTACACTACTAGAGCTCCTAGGTTAGAAGGTAGACACATGTTAACTTTGGTGACAGAGAGGGCAATATACAAGAAGAGGGAGATTGGCAGAAGAATGATGAAGATAGGTGAAGACACAGAGAGGCATACATGGGCTAAAGGCGATAGAGGTAATTAATGATATATACACAAACTTGGAACAACAGTATTCTATGTGTAGATACATGTACAGAGAGACACAGGCTTAATGGACATGGGAGGAAAAGTGGGATGTATGTATAGTTATATATCCCAGAAAAATATGAGTTTGAAAGAGGATCCTGGTGTGGCACTGTATGATAAGCACTAGACTGCAAGGTCTGCTTGCACCACAAGGTTGGTGGTTCAAACTTAAGAGCTGTTCCTTGGAAACTCAATCAGGTACATTACTGACTCAACGGCATTTAACAACAACAGAAAAGAAGCAGGATAACTCTTGCTGCAAGGAGGGGACTGCAAATCACTGAGATGAAATAAAGTTTATGATGTATTAAATGCAAAACTGATGAGCTTGTCTATAAACTTTTACTCAATTCAAAATAAAGTTATATATATAAATATAAAACTTTATATATGTATATATATATATACCAAAAAAGGTGTTACATCTCTACTGATACATTATATCAGGACACTACTTCACTTGTACTGGATGCACCAAACTATTTTAATCAGTCTTTTCTGCTTTCTCAAATGATCATGTAACTAGGATCTGGAGTCTCCAATGCTCTTATGATTCCAAGTGATAATACAAAGAAATGTCATTATGATAAGAATAAACGTTTGGTAGTCATAAAAGAAAATGACTAATCTCATTCATTCTTTTTCGAACCTCTTGGCAAAGCTTTATAACTTGATTCCTTGCCTATTTAGGCCAAGGCAGAATACCTGAATTCCCATTTAAAGGCTAAACGACCAATGATTGATTTTCCAGGAAAAATGCATTATTGAAAAAAATGCAAAACTTTACTCAATACTACATCAAGCATTGGGTCTCAAATATATAAACACAAGCATGAAGCAGACTCTGAATATTCCAGTAACTTTAGGCAAAAAGATTTAACTTCATGATTTATATTCTATTACTTGGATAATTCAGGAGCCCTGGGAACATAGTAGATTATGAGCTGGGCTGCTAAGCAAATGATCAGCAGTTCAAATCTACCAAGTTACTCTGCAGGAGAAACATGAGGCAGTGTGCTCCTGCAAAGATTTACAGCCTCAGAAACTCTGCACCGGGTTACTATGAGTTGAAACTGACTCAGTGGCACATGACCACCAGCATCACTTGGATTGTTGTTAAGAGCTGTCGAGTCTGTTCCGACCTGTTGTTGTTGTTGTTAAGTGCCGTGGAGTCGGTTCTGACTCATAGCGACCCTGCACAGGGTTTCCGAGGCTGTAAATCTTTACAGGAGCAGAACGCCTCATCTTTCTCCCACGGAACCGCTGGTAGTTTCGAATGCTGACCTTGCAGTTCACTACCCGATTCGTAACCACTACGCTACCAGAGCTCCTTGATCTATACAGGGTCGCTATGGGTCGGAACCGACTCGATGGCACATAACAACAACAACAACAACAACGCTACCAGAGCTCCTTGACCTGTAGCTACCCTGTATAGGGTTTCTGAGGAGAGCTGGTGAGCTTGAACTGCCGACTTTATGGTTCAAACTGACTTTGCAGTCCAGTGCATTAACCCACAGCGCCACACCAGGATAACTGAGTTTAAATCAATAAAGTTTGAAATCTGTTCTAATATGTGATTTAAAATTTAAGCTATCTTACATTTTAGTAGAATCATTTTAAGACACTTGGTTGACAAAAATATAAAGTATGGAAACAATGTACTTTGCAAATGATTATAAGGCTACTACAAGAAAACCAAAAGAACATTCAAAAAAGAAAAAAAAATCAAATGCTAATAAAATTATGAAAGCCACAAAAAATGTATACTGTTGTGTTAGTCTACTAGTTGTGTTTATTGTTTTAAATGCCATCAAGTCAGTTCCAACTCATAGAGACCCTGTATAGGGTTTTAGAGGAGTGATTAGTGTGTTTGAACCATCGACCTTTCAGTCAGCAGTCCAATGCTTATCCTACAGCGCCACACCAAGAGTCCAAAAATGACGTTTACTAGCCCTAAATTTGAAAAGAGGAATTTTTAATAATTATTACAGATCATATTAGTGCAAATTTGAAAAATAATGTTCAGTGAAAGTCAGAAAAATGCATTCTTCTAGGACTCAAAGTTACTTTAGTAATCTTCTAGAACCACTGGCTTAGAGAAAATTATCCAAATGCAAGAAAATCTACTCTCAGAACTTGAGAAAACAGATCCTGTTGCATCCTATTAGAAATTTATTCAAGTCAACACCATTTTTAGGGAGTTTTTTTCTCATAAATACCTTGTCTCATTGTTTAGACCATGAATAGCCAGCGAAAACAAAAACAGAAAAGTGTTCATCATTTGTGTCTTGCTTACATCAAATTTCTCTTATATTCTATCACCTGGCACAGAGCCTTAGTCACATATCAGTTGAACAAATTATGGATGAATAAATAAATATAATGAAGTCCTTTTTTAGCATGCTTTCCTGCAGTAACAAAAATAATCCAAGTTTATTTATTTATTTTTTAAATTTTTATTTTTTTATTGTGGAGTTGTTTCAATCTTTATTACGAACATGACTTTTCTTTTACCTTAGGATGATGGCAAGGCCCAAACTGGGCACCTTATTAGATCACTTCTGACTGAGGATATAACCAATCAGAAGCACACTATACAAGAATTGTCTAACGGGATTTATACATTTTAGTAGACTCCTGGGTGGTCCAACAGTGAATGTGCCTGGCTGCTAGCCAAAAAGTTGGAGGTTCCAGTCTACCCAGAATGGTAATCAATTGGAAAGCAATTATAAATTCTAACAGATAAATGGTTAGTTGAGAAATTCCGTTATATCAATATTAAAACCACCGTGACAATGTCTACCTATATAAATAATGTTGAAACACTTACCTCAAGAACCAACCAGAGCTTATCTCCATTTGCTTTATCTTTCTTAAAATACATCCCATAGAATCTGACCACATTAGGGTGGTCAGAAAGTGTTTTCAAGATGTTATACTCTGCTTCAATCTCTTCATCAATATCCTAGATTTAAAAAGTTATAAAATGAGAAGTCTGAAAAAATGTAAATAATGTCAAAGACATTTTATAGACTACCAAAATAGAATTTAATTTTGCAAAGCAAGCTCAGAATAGTTTTTACTGTGCTCAGTATTACGTATTAAAATTTCACATTACATTGTCTAAGGGAGAGATGGATATTCTTGTGCTTATTAAATACATCTCAAATTATGTTAATTTTACTGAATTGGAAAGGGATAAATAAATGGGTAGAATTAAGATTATTTCTGTTTTCAATTAAGGTGAAACCTATATGGAGTCCTGGTGTGACGCTGTAGGGTAAGCTCTGCACTGCTGCTAATCACAAGGTTGGTGTTCAAACCCACTAGTTGTTCCAGGAGAGAAAAATGAGGATTTCTACTCCTGTAAAGGTTTACAGCCTCAGAAACCCTATACAGGACCATTATGAGTGAAAACTGATTCTATGGCACTCAACAACAACATATGGAATGAAGTTCCCCAGGTGATTTTGATTTCTTTGCAATCTTAATTTATAGTAGCGAAGCCATGGATTTAGGAGCTCTGGTAGCATTGTTGTTACAAATCGGGCTGTGAACTGCAAAGTCAGCAGTTCAAGACTACCAGCTGCTCTGTGGGAGAAAGATAAGACTTTCTGGTCCCGTAAAGATTTACAGCCTCAGAAACCCTGTTCAGGGTCACTGTGGGTCGGAACTGGCTCAACAGCCCATAACAACAACAAACCATGGATTTACAGTAGAAACTTTTAGGATCAAGAAGTTAGTTCATTTTGTTTCTTTGAAATACAGGCATTTGTGAGATATAAAAAACTAATAATACCTGCAATAAATTCTGACTTCTCAACAAAAGTAAGATAGAACTCAATTATATGAAATGACCCCTAGTTAGCTAAAAGTCCATTAATCACACTGGGAGGAGTATAAGAGTTAAAGGCTATTTACTATTGCTACATACACTATTCTGTAATAATGGTACTATTATTGAATGAATGGTACTATTTCCATGAATATATATATAGAGAGAGAGATAAAGAGAGAGAGAGAGAGACTTGACAGAGGGTATTTTGACATATGTATTTACCTGGGTTAATGTGATGGACTGCAAGGTCAGTATAAATTACAAGGGCGGCCACTCCTTGGAAACCCTATACAGAGTCGCTATGAGTTGGAACTAACTCTACAGCACTTAACAACAACAACAGCATACTGCAAATGGTGGCTCTGAACAATACACAGTAAACTGAGAACCACAAAGTTGGTAGTACGAGCATACCATTCACTCCCTGGGAGAAAGATGAGTCTCTCTGCTCCTGTCAAGATTTACAGCCTTAGAAACACTATACAGGGTCACTATGAGTCAGAACCAACTAGACAGCGCACAGCAGAAGCAGCACAGTGGAGCATATAGGACACGAAGTGGTGAAAACGTCTTAACCATAACCAAATACCCTGAGGGAATGGGTCACTGGGCCTAAGGACCCGAGACTATACAGTCTTAGAGAACATTAAGCTCAATTGATATAAATAGTCCACAGAAACAATGTTCCACATCCTGCTTTGGTGAGTAGGAATTGGGGATTTACAAGTTTGAAAGAGGACACATAAGGTTAATTTATTTGTCTTTTACCATCCAGAGCAAATAAGAGTGAAAAAAAAACCAACAAAAAAACACGGAAATTATTTGTTTAATAGACTCTGAGACCAGACGAACCAGATGGTGCCCAGCTACTACTGACCATTCTGAAAGGGACCACCATTGTTATTGTTGCTGTTAAATGCCATCGAGTCGGTACTGACTCACAGCGACCTTATGCACCATTAGAAGGTACTTAATAGAGTGGGAGAAATAAATGTAAAAACAACTCAAAAGTATTTAAAAGGCCAGGCTTACTGGCAGATGGAGACTGGTGGAAAACCTCAGACTACGGCCCTTAGTCACCCTTCAGGCCAAGAATTGAACTGACTTCAGTGACTCAATTTTCAGCCAAACAATAGAGAGGTTTATATGCTGAAGAATAACACTAGCAAGGCACACACTTCTTAAAATAACCAGCCACTTGAAATCAAAGGGCATCATTTTCCAAGGACAAAGTTCAGAAAGTAAGAAGGGGTAGAAAAGAAGGAGGAATGGAAACAGGAAGGAAGTGGAAAAAGTGATGTTATATTTTGGGTATTACAGTCAATGACAAATTGTAAAAATTCAATGTGTACTAAATTTTTGGATGGAAAACTGGTTTGCTCTTTAAAGTTTTCTCCCAATTCAAAATAATAAAAAATAATAAAAGCCCATTAATCAGAAATAGAACAGATTGCTTTCTTGTCTTTAAAAATATAATATAGCAACTTAGTCATATCTCAAGAAAACTACATATACATGAAAAACTCACAAAACAATAAATATGAAAAAGTCTTATTGCTCTTATATTAACATGAGATGCCTAAGTTGTTTTAAATGAAATATCGTAGAATCACAAAGCTAGGAAGAATTTAGATCAGCACTTCATTTAAAAAGGAAAAGTCAGGTTCAGAGAGGTGAAGAAGTTGTAGAGTTGGTTAATGAAAGATAAAGGAGAAGATGCTAAATGCACTGACTTCTGTTCCTCTCATTTCACCCCTCTTGTGATAGCACTGAGGCTTTGAATCAACTTTATTGGTCAAGATTCTCAGTAGTTCAGCTTAAGCCGTACTTATCCCCCATGATGTAACCTAATATAATGTAGTCATCTCCATGATGAGATCTGCTCTGAGCTGCCAGTCAATTGATAGAAAGTTTCCAATACATCAGACACTCAGACAAAGCTTGCTTGCTTTTTGTTGGGTTTGGATCCTGCATATAGCTTCCCAATCTGACTGCCAGTTCATTGGATTGGAGCCAGTGACCTGCCATATTACCTGCTGGTCCTGGGCGTCATCAGCAGCCTGCCATCTTATCTGATGATCTTAGATTAATTTTACTCCGAGGCTAGAGCCTGCCATCTGACCTGTTAATTTGGGGCTCATCCAGCATGACATCTGACCCAAAGTCTTGGAACTAGCCTGCTTCTACAAACTGTGTGAGTCATTCCCTTAATATAAACCTAGGTGTGGTTGTTGTTAAGTGCCATTACTTCAGTTCTGACTCATATTGACCCTGTACAGGATTTCCAAGGAATAGCTGGTGGGCTTGAACTTTCCAACTTGTGATTCAAAGTCCAGTGCTGATATGTTAAACTTTTGTTGGCTACACTCTTATCTGCACTTTTCATTCAAGGTCACTGCTATGCAGGTATGAATGTGGACATCTGTAAACAAAATTTGGACTGATACTCTAATGAAGGTAAAAGTTTCTTTAAAAAAATCGTTACTGGTGAAGAGACATGGATTCATCACTATGAACCTGAAAGTAAATAGCAGAGTTTGGAATGGAAACATTCTTAATTGCTGACCAAGAAAGAGTTCAAAAGTCAAGCATCAGCTGTAAAATTGATGCTTATAGTTTTCTAGAATTCTCAAGGGAGGGCCAGCATTTGAACACCATGAGGAAAAAGCTTCAACAATCAACAGAGCTCTTTACAGTGAGATGCTCAAATTTGAGATTAAAGGCAGAGGCCTGCTCTCCAAGGGCTCTGTGATCTTGCACAATGCACTTCTCCACATCTCTGGTCACACTCTAGACACTCTGCAAAAACTTCATTTTGAGATGTTAATGCATCCTTCCTATAGTCCTGATCTTGTTCCATCAGACTTTCACCTGTTTGGTCTCCTGAAAGCAGCCCCTCAAAGACAAAGATTCACCTCTGATAAAGAAGTTAAGACAGCAGTACATTCATGGCTCACAGCTCAGCCTAAAACCTTTTAAAATAAGGGAGTACTAAAGCTTGTTGAAAGATGGACAAAGTGTATTGAAAAGCATGGAGATTATGTTGAAACAGGATGTATTTGTCTTTTATTAAAATTGATTAAAATAAATTCTAAAGCTAGAGTGCGGATAATTTTTTACTCCCCCTCGTATACAGTATGTTGTTAAGTGCCGTCTACTTGGTTCTAACTCATAGCGACCCTATATAGGGTTTCCAAGGAGTGGCTGGTGGATTTGAACTGTCAACCTTGCAGTTAACAGTCTGGTGCTTACCCAACAGCACCACACCAGGACTCCAAAAATATTTATATATTAAAAAAATTTTATATTTATATTTTATATAAGCTTCACTGGTTTTGCTTCTCTAAAAAAACCCAGCATAAGATGCCTCTCTTGGAAAGAAAATTATTAGTTTAAAATGCAATATGTATATTTATATTTTATATAGGCTTCACTGGTTTTGCTTCTCTCTTGGAAAGAAAATTACTAGTTCAAAATGCAAAATAGTATGACTCCTTTAATAAAAAAGCTACTCTTTGTGAAATGCTTGGCTGCATTTAAATTTATTTTATTAAGATTATAATCTCTTGGTTATAAATTGTTTTTATTTGACTTGTGACATGATGAATGAGCAGTAAATAATTCTTAGAAAATCATATATGTATTGTGATAAGAATAAAAGCAGCAAAAGAACAAGTTTAATAGTATAGTTATGAAATCCACATCTTTCATTAAACAGCAGTATGAAATATATTTTTTAAGGTTTGTAGTATCCCATACAAGGATAAGCTATTACAGAATAATAGCTGCATGCATTCATAAACCATTTATTCTTCTCCATCAAGAATTAGGGGAGTGTGAGACACATTCTGATTATGGGAACAGCCATCAAGATCAGCATGAAACCTATTCTCTTGCCTCCATGAACCCCAATCCCTAAAAGGAACAGCTAGACCTAAATGGCACAGTCACTTGAAAGACTTTAACTGTGTCTGTTCCCCCATTTAAAATGGTAAGAAATTTCCAATAGAAAAATGTGATGACATCCAGCATCAGTTAAATCTAACTAAGCATGTGATTGTTGCTAAGTGCCATCGAGCCATTTCCAACTCATAGTGACCCTTATAGGGTTTCCAAGAAGTGGCTGGTGGGTTTGAACCACGAACCTTACGGTTAATAATCTACTGTTTATCAGACAGCGCCACACCAGGACTCCAACCTAAGCATAGTGCTTCTCATTTTTCTTTTTTCCATCATACCTAATTTATTACTTTAAAATAACTCCTCTAAAATAATATGGATACAAAACAATACAGGTAGTCCGACTGATTATTATAAGAACAAACAAATTACTCGCCCAGGAGACATCAAGACAAGTGGTTGGGTCCCCTCAGTGCAAACCCCCTTCAAAGACTAAGACCCAATGGGAATACACGCTCTGATTGGTGACCACATTCGTCACCGATAAGGGGAAGTGAGAGAAAAGCTGCAATGAAGCTGCGAGCTAAGCCCTACAACGTTCAATAGACTCCTGTGAACCCGGGTGGAGACCTGGTTGGCCAGCAGTGTGGTAAGACCTGGGGACTCTTGGGCCCAGAGTCAGTGACACAGCCACAGAGGACTAGAGTGGAGAGTGAAGCGTCCAGCTGATAAGAAGAGAGGGCATATGCATAAGAACACCCACACTTGCAGATAATACCCACTTGACCTGGCTTCAATGACTGGATGATCAGAGCTCAACTAAAAGAAGAAAGAAAAGGAAAAAAAGAGTAATCTGATATAATTTGATGAACTTGACCTATACCTATGGATGCAGTAGCTCAAAAGAGGGAACAAATCTCTACAGTGAGGATCATTCCCACCCCCTCCATACACAGAGTGGACAGGGATGTGCAACTTGGACACTGGCTACCCAAAATGGGGTGGAGGGAGGGTGGGCTACAAAGGCAGGAAGTAACTGACTTACAAGCTTTCAAGAGGGAACCTAGGTCCAGAGGGCATGGAGGAATGTAGAATCTCCATTGAGTAATATCCAATCTGTTTGGGCAGGGCTGATGAAAGTAAATGCGGATAGGTCTCTTGTGATACAATAGTGAATAATTGTTATCAGGACTGACTTGTGAGGGTTGGAAATATAAAGATAGATGTTTTATAGCAAAGGCGGGGAGTGACTAACTTTGCAGTCTAGAAGCGTAGATCCCTGGGACCATCAAGGGAGAAGAGCAAAGAGCGGGACCCTACCCAGAGAAGCAGTGACGCCAGAGATGGAAGCAGAGACAATGATATGGGGAGAGATGGAGCAGCTGGGTACTTCAGACCCAGAGAGGGAGAGGGGCTGTGTGCTGTGTGTGTGTGTGTGTGTGGTGGTGGTGGTGGGGGGGGATGACCAGGCTTGTAGTGTATACCCTTTGGTTGGTTGATGATGCATGGAGGGTATGGTAATCATGGCAATGAAACGATATATGATAGGATGAATGTAAAGCTAATGAGCTAATGTTCTCCCATGTAAACAATCACATAATTCACAATAAAACATTAAAAAAAAAATAATAAGGGACTTTGTATAAGCTTTTATGAAAAATAAATGATCAAAAAGAACAGAGCAGAAATGAAGTAAGGCCAAGAAACCTTTCTCGGTGTCCTCCAGTTTGCTAGTGGCAGAGCTGTGCCGAGGACCTGGGACTTCCGTGTCTCCAAGCACGGAGACATCAGACTGTTCTTCCTTAAAATGTCCAACAGTCAAGTATCTGGACAACTAATTCGAAATAAAAGTCTTGGGATTACTTGATCACATAGCTCATTCTGGTTCACCCAAATTTTACGAAAGGATTACATTCTGTCCCATTAGTCTGAAGATATTCCCCAAACTACCAAGAAACAGAATTCCCAGGAATCAGAATATCAGCAATCTCTTAATACTCTAAAGGGAAAACAAAAGGGTTAGTCAGTTCCCTTATAACAACTACTACTGCAAAATATGCAATGGGGAGAACCCATTGGGGTCTTACTTAAAAGCAAAGTACAGGGGGATTGCAAATGAAGCTCAAATCTTCATAACAAGGAACCTTAATATGAATATAAATCAATACTATTTCTGCTTTAGAAACATACAAACCTGAAAGTGGATTTATTTCACTTCTTTGAAATAAAGTTAATTTAAAAGTTCCTTCTGGTTTAGCTAAAGAAAAATTTTATCCAAAGCCCAAATAAATGCAGCAAAAAAGAAAATTAGGTCAAGATGACATTTTAGGATTACTTCTAGATCTGCGAATTCTTACAATTTTGTGAAATTTAAAAATATTATTATGCAGAGAGCTGCATTGATTTACATGTTTGTGTTTGTTAATTTATTCATTTATTGAACACTTGTTGGGGGCTATTATATATATTAAATATACAAGCCAAGAGAAGCTAACATTTTTACATATTGTTTCCGTATTTTTAAAAAATTGTAACTTGTCTTTGAATGACCTTGTGAAAAATGAATCAAGATCCATTATCACCAACTGTTTAATGAATTAACACAGATAAAACAAAATTCATTAGGGAAACGTTGTATGGCACTCACATGGATTGGATCCAGAATTTTGACTGCTGCTTTCTGGCCATTTTTCTTATTCAGCACTTTAAAAACTTTCCCGTAAGTTCCTTTGCCGATTGTTTCAGTGATTTCCCAAGTATCAGAGGGATCCGGAAAGTTATCAAAGATCATTTTTTTCCCAATTAATGGAAGCATCTCGAAGTTTTAATTCACTGGAGAGAAAAAGTATAGAATGTCATCATATTTCACTGAGAAGATTAAGACGTACATGCATGTATTTTTCAGTGTCACTGAGTTGGTTCCAGCTCATAGCAACCCTTTAACAGGGTTTCCGAGGAGCGGCTGATGACCCTGCTGTTCAAAACCGACCTTGGAGTCTAGTGCATTATCCCACAGCACCACACCAGGATTCCACCATATGTATCGTTTACCCAGTATTTATACTTGTAGGATGGGGGAAAAATATCACAGTAACCAAGAATACTTTGGAGTCATAAAAAATTTTAATTTAGATTCTTCTTTTTGAAAAAAGATGACTATGTCTTATAGTGATTTTTAAACAGGATTTTATTTCTATGTTTAAAAGAAATTATTAGCAATTAATAACTTTTTTTTTTCAAAGGGCTCAAGCATTTAACGACAGTGAGGATGGCACAGGGCCATGTCTTGTTTTGTTCTGTTGTGCACAGGATCACTGTGAGTCTGAGCCCACTCAACTGCACCTATATACAACAGTACTTTTTTTCAGATGAACAGAAAATACATTTTTAAATCATTCTGATTTACTTCTTTATACTCAGGTAATGCTTGGAGGATAAGCGCTTGACAGCTGTCATGTCAGTGGTTCAAACCCACCAGCTGCTCCTCAGAAACCCTATTCAGAGTCACTATGAGTCAGAAGCGACTCAGTAGTACTTAACAACAGTAACAATAACAGTGTATAGAATCAAAATTTTTATGAGTCTTGCTGTTAAATACTGTCCAGTTGGTTCTAACTTATATGGTTTCCAGGAGCTGCTGGTGGGGTTAAGTCACCGAGGATCTTGTGACTAGCAGTCCAGTGCTTATCCTACAAGACCACACTAGGACTGTTGCTGTTGTGAATTGCCATCGAGTCAATTGCGAGCCATAGCGACCCTGCATAGGGTTTCCGAGGAGCAGCTGGTGAGCTTAAACCACTGACCTTGCAGTTCAAATGGCTTTGCAGTCTGGTGCATTAACCCACAGGGCCACACCAGGATTCCAGGATTAGAGGTGGCAAACTTCAACTTCCCATCAAAGCAAACCTGACTCTTAGGTGATCCTGTCTTCTGTCACTATATGTAAAACCCAACAATGCTTTTAATATGACGCTTCCTTAACATAACTTACAAGGTTCATCAGAATATGGTCTTCTTACTTCCCTAGCCTCATCTCTCTTCTCTCATACATTGTGATCCAGTCACCCTGGATCTTTCAGTTCATTTTCATCTTGCTTGAGAGTTTTAATATTTGCTGTCCCTTCCCACTCCAACCAGAACGTCTTTGCTAAAATCTAATTCCTACTTATCTTTCAATGTTCTGCTTCGCTGTTACTTCCTCCATATGTAATCATTCTCCACTCCATTTTGGTTGCATGGCCCATTCTCAATGCTCTGATAGAATGCCAAATCTACCTTTATCTGAAACCATTACCTTTATACCTACTGCCTAGCAAAGTAGCAAATTCATTAACCAAGAGGTTAAGTGGCTTTCTAAAGGAGACTATGTATGTATGTATGTATGTATGTATCTATCTATCTATCTATCTATCTATCTATCTATCTATCTATCTACCTGCCTACCTATTATAGTAAGATTGTAGATTTCTTGACTTCCAATTAGTGCTCATAATGTTCCATGTTTTATTTTCTATATTATATCCAATTGCTTCTAAAAAATTACTCCCCAAAAATAGCAATTAAACAAAAAAGGAAAGACAGAAAACAAGACAAGCCATAGAACCATGGGCTCCCAGCACTTCTGGTAAGCCCCACAGTTCAACTGTCTATGTAAAAACACATTGCTTTTCAGTGTTAAAAAAACTGAGTATAGTCGTGTTTTGTTGGTATGTGTATGCACACACATAGGAACAGATTTATTAATCCAGATGTGTTAATATTAGCCCATGAAATTCACCTATCTGACCACACTAACAACTTTTCAACTTCATCCAATACATTGATTTTCACCTCTTCATATATATCAACTCTCTTCAGTCTTCATTCCCTCCTTCTCCACCATAGATTCCATGGATTGCCTTATCTTAACTCCCTTGTTCACACTGTCAGCATCTCTGACTACTTTCTCCTGGGGGGGAAGCAATGACATTAGTTAACTATATTAGTTAACTACATTAGTTAATGACATACGTTAACTACATCTCCTTTACAACTGTGACTATAACTGAAATGTGAAAACACATTACTAGTTTCACTCTATATACAAGACAACAAACCTACAAGTTGACCATCAATACTGCCTAGTAGCCCATTGAATTTCCCTGGTATGCATATTCCTCTTTCTCTCTGGTGTGACTATTTCACAGTATTCTCTCTCCTCAAATTGTTATCTTTGCCTATCTTCCTCCCAGAAAACTTTCCAGTTGAGGCTCTTCATAATTAAGTGAGAAAATGAAAATAAATAAAATAAACTCCTTTATTTTCTCACCTCAAAAACTACAAACCAATGCACATGAAACACAGCAAATTCATCCCTAAAGCCAGTAATCACTGTTTCGCCTCAGTCTTTCTCTTTGATGAAAAGTCAACCCTCTGTTACTCCTGAATTAGAATGAAAGATCCATGAGGGTAGGGACACCATTATTTTTATGATTATATCCACAATTCCTAGAACAATGCTGGGCTCATAACAATCAGTAAATATTGGTTAAACGGGGAAATGGTTATTTGTTTACTTTTTGGTGTTAATGTGCTGGACTGAAAAGTGAGTTTGAGCTGCAAGGTTGGGAGTTCAAGCTCACCAGCCGCTCCTCGGAAACCCTATACAGAGTCGCTATGGGTCAGAACCAACTCGATGGCATTTAACAACAACAACAAATTTTAAGGGCAGAAACTCTGTTTTGTTCACTTCTAAATCTACCCAATGTATATCTCTGTGCCTGGCATTTTGTTCTATTATTGTTAAGTGCCATTGAGTCCAATCCTATTAATAGTGATCCTGTATAGGGTTTTTGAGAAGCAATCGCTGAATCTGAACATCCTACGGCACACACCAGGACTCCCTGTGTCTGACATGTTATTGTTGCTATGCCATTAAGTTGATTCCGACTCACAGAGGTCCTGTATAGGGTTTCTGAGCCTTTAAATCTCTATGGGAGCAGAAGGCCTAATCTTTCTCCAGAGGAGCAGCTGGTAGATTTGAACTACCCATTCTGCAGTTAGCAGCCTAACACATAACCCAGTATGCCAGAAGGGCTCCCATGCCTGACATAGTAGATGTTAGCTATAAAGCTGTTGAATGAATAAATCTGATTCTTAAGAATATATTTTAAAGGAGGGAAACAAGACTTAGGAAAAACTGAAATGAATTTTTAAATCCGAAACAAAATACAGATCACGTCTTGAATCATTAGACTTAAGGGCACATCATCTAGTAAATGATTATGAATGTCTGCCAAAAATTACATGACTGCATAAAAAATCACTTATGAATAGTTCTCAGAACACTTAATCTTTATGAAAAATTTGCCTTTGAAGCAAAATGCACAGGAACAAGTAAGAGGTAATCAGTAATAATCATCCTCTTTAACAATTTCATAATCAGTAACAAGATAACTGCTTCTTAGATCTATCTACTTGAGTCATGCAAATAGGCATTCATGGCATCCTTATGATATAAAGGTTAGTCCAAAAGACCAAATTAAGTCTTGTTAAATGTTTGGAATAGGAGTCTGCAACCAGAAGAAACAGTCATTATATGGACTAATGTCTTTCAGGTGGCAATGTAAGTGAACAAAATGTTAATTTCTGATACATTAATGGTTAGGAATTAACTCTTGGTCTTTAAATATACAGGTATAAAATTTTAACTGAATACCATTGAATATCAAATATGTGCAAAAAACTCCAATGAGTTTTGGGGATACAAAAATTGACAATTCATGGATAGATGAATACACCTGTAACTATACTACAAAAAGTGATGTTGTTTTGCTAAGTGTCAATGAGTTGGTTCTGACTCAAAGTGACTGTGTTGGGTTTCCAAGGCATATTTTTTTTTTCTCACCAATTTCTGAGGCCAAAGTCTAAATTTCTTTTTTTTTTTTTATTGTGAACTGAGTGATAGTTGACATGGAAGAACATCGGCTTTACACCATCATTTCGCTGCGATGATTACAATCTCCTTCTTTAAGAGCATTTTTTTTTTTTTTTTTACTTTTTTTGAGGGAAGGGTGGGGATAAGTACACAAAAACACTCAGGAATATATAATAATTTAAACAACCAAATAGCACATTCTGCAAGCCTGCCTCCTGGCCACCGGCACTCAGTCCCTCTCTTTCCATGAGTCCAGAGTCCTAAACTGCTCCCTCTCTCCATGTTATCATCTCTGCCTCCATCTCTGGTGTCACTGCTTCTCTGGAGAGGGTCCCACATTCTGCTTGTGTTTTTCTCTCTTGATGGTCCTAGGGTCCTCTGTTTCTGAACTGTAAGGTTAACTACTCCCCTGTTTTTCTTACAAAACTTCTACATTTAAAGTTATGACAGTTCAATTAGTTATGATAACGATTACTCACTACTGAATCATAAGAATCTTATCCCCATTCCTTTTCACTAGACCCATCTAGACAAGATAAAAACTATTCAATGGGGATTCTATCTTCCCCTATACACTTGTAAACTAAATTCCTCTTGAACACTTGTAAGCCAGTCACTTCATGCCTTTATCACCCCCTCATTTGAGGTAGCCAATGTCTAAATTGCCTGTCCCTATCTATACTGACTCGATGGCACCTAGCAACAACAAATGTACCCTGTATACAGAGGGGATAGGATTTATATTTGATATGAAGACTCCTTCCCTCTCAGTTGGTATTTTGAGCTACTACATCCATGAGTATAGGTGAAGTTTATCAAATTGTAGCAATTTACCCTCGTTTCCTTTATCAAAAAAAATTTTTTTTTTTTAATCTTGCTCTAATTGAATTCTGATTATC